CCAAAAAAAAAAAAAAAAAAAAAAAAAAGATCATAACAGCAGCTACCTCTTAGGGTTACTATAGGAATTAAATTATGTAGTATATGTAAAATACTTCCAACAGTGCCCAGTAGGCAATGAGCAGAGTAGTTACACACTAAAAATAAAAACAATACTAAAATAAGCAGCAGTAATACAAAAGAGAGAGAAAATGACATAACATCAGAAGTGCCAGAAAGACTTTTAGCTAATTTTCCTGGGATCAGCTCTTTGAAAGAAATGGTAACTGAGAAAAGTATAAAGCAACACATTCCTGCTGACTTTTGCTATATGAGGTCTTTCTCTTTTACTTGTCTCATGGGAGAAAGTCGTGACCGTAGATGCCATCAGGAGGGCGTGGACGTCCCGGCTCTGCCAGTCTCGTGGCAGGACGGGAACGCAGGGGGTGGCAGGGGTGGCTGGTCAGAGTCCTCATTTCCAGGGCCAGTTGAGATGGCAAGTTCTGGCCTCCCCAGACCTGTCCCTTTGATTTCACTCTTCCAGATGCTCTCGAGTCGCTTTGCACATACCTGGAAATGGGTTCGCCTTTTAAAACTAGGACAGGCCTTGTGGTCAGAACGCGCCTCTAGCAGTTTACTCCCCTAGACTAATCCTGAGATCTGACCTTCTCTTGAGAATCCAAACATCAAAGACAAGCACGTCCCCTTCGGGCGAATCCGATCCCCACTGTGACCCCAGCATGACTTTGGTGTGGCCGAAGAGAGTAAGGGATTCCGGGGCAGAAGCTGACCTAGGAAGGGTCCAGAAACCTGGGTTTGTGGATGGGGCACAGGCGAGGCTGGCTACTCGGGGCAGTGCCTGATGAGAGCTCTGTCCCCAACCACCGAGCGCCGGTCACTCGAAGAAATAGAAATATTTCCTCTGTGGCTTGTCTTGAAGCAAAAAAAAAAGGTGAAGGGGGAGGGAGCATGTCAGGTCAGGCCCCTGCTCGGTTTCTGGGCCGCGTGGGAGGTGGCCATCTTGTCACCCGTCACGTCACTGCTGAATGGTGTCCCTCCTGTGGGCAGGTCCGGGGTGGGGGGGACATCTCCAGTGTGTACCTGGAGAGAAGACACCCCTGACCCCTTGTCTTAACCTCAGAGCCCATGTATAGAAAAGTCTGCAGGGCCGCATCCGCTATCCAACAAGGATCGGGGGTCTTCAACTTAGAGGCAAACACGTGTGGCCACATGGCCGCCTGCGGGGCCCAGGGGTGAGGCTAGCCCCGCGGGGAGACACCATGAAAGACAGGCAGAGTGGCACCACGGGAGAGTGAAAATGCCTGTGGGGAGCACCCATGAGCGCTTGCCTCTGGCTGTTGATGCTTGGTTTAACAGGCATCACTGAGGGAGCAGACTTCTTGGGGCGGTCCCTGCAGAGTCACATGCCAGGTTGGCTTTTCTAGCAGGTCAAGTCTCCCGTCCTGCTTTCTTGCTGGTGACCTGTTGTTTCTTCTGTCACAAGCTGTGATAAGTAGGATTTAGGGCTTGGTGACTTAGAAGCAATCAAGGTAAAAATAAGATCCTTCTATAAAGCCTGCCACAGACCCTGGGGACTGGTACACTGGATGTCATTTTGGCAAATGTGTGAGCCAGAGAGGAAGAAGTTAAAAAGAACGTGACCTCTGTTAGCTGGGGACAGCGCGCCCTCTGCCCGCCTGCGCGTGCTTGAGACGTTTGTCCTGGAGCTGCCTGGGGCTTCCTGCAGCTGAGATGGCTCTGGCGGTGGGTAGCAGCCTTCTAGAGGTCTGGGGGGTCATAGCCACAAACCCGCCTTCTTTGCCAGCTCAGCTCAGGGTCAGACGAGCCTGGGCAGCTGTGCCTTGTGAACCTGTTTTCCCAGTGACCTCTCAGACCTCCCCTCTCGGAGAGCCCTGGTCAGGGTGTCCTACCCACAGCGGGGTCATGCGTGCCTCTTCCCTGCTGCCACTTGGTGACAGTCAGTGTCTGCTGTGTGCAGAGCTCTGGCTGGGTCGGTACCGAACGCAGGGAGCAAAAAAGGAGAGTCACTCCAGGGAGCTTAGCATTGAGGGCAAAACAGTGGAATGTGTGGACAGGAACCCACAGAGGTCCCCAGAGGAGCAGGTTACCGTGTTCCTCGGGGATGGCTTCCTCCGTCTGGTGGGGGGGTGGGAGGAGCTAGTTGCCTGAGCCTGTAAGATGTCTCCCAGACCAACTCTCCACAAACTTCCCAGGCTGGGCCCAGGGACTCAGACCCAGGGGTCTGCAGGGCCTGGGCTCTGCACATTGGAAGAACATTTCAGCCAGCTGACAGTCAGCCTGGTGTGGGAGCCCCAGGAAGTAGGTGCCCCAGAGCAGGCACTCAACAGGGAGGGCAGAATTTGGTAGCTTGGAAACAGGGAGACCCATTCAGAGGAAAGAGCTGGGGCTGGGGCGAAACCCTTCTCCACCCATCTGGGTGTCACTGCAGCACCTGTCTGAAGGCAGCCCAGGCGTCGGTCAAGGTCCAGCCTCAATCAGAAGAAGGAGCCTCAGTGCCCGGGAGGCACTGGACTCCCTGACCCTACAGCAGGTGCACCAAGCCACAGTCCCGAGAGGTGGTCGCTGTCTAAATTAAACTCTCATTAGTTCCACACTTGGGGAGAAGGTGCCGCCTTGAGATGAACTGTATTCAAGTTATATGGCATGTGGGTTGTTCTTTTTTATTTAGAAGAAAAAATTAGCAGCTAGGAAAGACTCAGGTGAGGACATTTTGTTTTTTAAATCAAGAAGCATAGGCTGGGTGCGGTGGCTCACGCCTGTAATCCCAACACTTTGGGGGGCCGAGGTGGGAAGTCACTTGAGCCCAGGAGTTCAAGACCAGCCCAAGCAACATAGCGAGAGCTCGTCCCTACAAAAAATAAAAAATTACCTGGGTGTGGTGGCGTGCTCCTGTACTCCCAGCTACTTGGTAGGCTAAGATGGAAGGATCACCTGAGCCCAGGAGGTGGAGGCTGCGGTGAGCTATGAGCGTGCCACTGCACTCCAGCCTGGGCAACAGAGTGAGACCCCGACTCAAACAAACAAACAACCAAATAAACAAAATTGTCAAAGGTCATTTAGCCTTCAGCCGGTGGCCCACAGAAGCCTGAACAATGCTGTCACCTGCAGACAAGGGTGGGGTTACTAGAGCTGGTCGCTCCCTGGGCGGTGCCCCGGTCTACAAGTCACTTTGGCCGTGACACATTCCTGTTCTCACTCAGTCTTCCTGTCCATCTCCCCAGTTCGCCAACCCACCCGGGCTACTTGGACTCGCCCACCTGCGGCTGGGTAGTGTCTTGGCGCAGCACGTGACTTAAGCCTTCCACCATCGACCCACTCAGGCGGGGCAGCCGTCCTGCCAGGCGCTCAGGCCCTGGTCCCAGCTTATGCTTGCTCCCATCTCCTCCACACAGCCACCGCCCAGCCACCACCATCTCCCCATGGATTTTCAGCCACCTCCTGCCAGCCCTTCCCCAGCTTCCAGGCCCTTCTCCTGGCAGTACCAACTCCTGGAGCCTAAGATCATGGCGCTACTCTGCTCAGAAAGCCCCAGGGCTCCCCACAGCTCTCCAAGGAGAAGCCAGTATTGCCAAAAACCTTCCCCTCTCTGCCCTTCCCTCCTCCCTCCCTCTCCAGCCACACGGGCCTCCTCGCTGTGCCCCCCAAATGCCAGGTGAGGTCCTGCCCCAGGGCCTTTGCACAAGCCGTGCCCTCTGCATGGAGTTCTTGTCCTCAAGGCTCCTCCCTCACCTCCTTCCGTCCTTACTCAGCACCGGCTCCACAAGCCTGGCCAGATACCCCCACCCAATCTGAAAGTCATTCTCCCTCCACTTCCCTCCATGCCAAGCTCCTGGTACCTATGCCCAGGGTAATTGCTCTCGTGGCACTTAGCACCTTCTCTTACTTGGTTCTGTTTACCTGTTTATTGTGAGTGGGTGAGAATGGATGCTTCGGGGGGCAAGGAGTTGCATTTTATTCACTGCTGCATCCCCAGCCCCCAAAACAGGGCCTAGCTTCATCAGCTCTTAGTAAACATTTGCAGGGTGGATGAAAGGGTGGGTGTTCTCAGAGCGCACACGGGTGCTTGGGAGAGCTGCCCAACCAGTTAGAATCGAACTCGCCACCCGCCAGTGAGGGGCCAGGGTCAGGCAAATCTGCCCCAAAGAGCAGAAACGAGTATCTTAGAAGACACAGGGGCCAGATGGGTGGGCACAGGTCTTGCTCTTCCACTTGTAGGTGACGATATCTATCCCTAGGTCTATGCCAGCAGAGAGCCCCAATCCACTGGGGGGGGGAGGTTCCCCCTAAAGAGAAGGATTTGGTCCATTTCATCAGGAGGTGTGCTATCCCGACAGATCATGACAAATGTGGATAAATGTACGTTTTCTTGGAAAGCATTTTCTTTATTCATGTTTGACATAGTGCCAAGTGCAATGGCTCACGCCTATAATGCAGCAGTTTGGGAGGCCAAGTCAGGAGAATCGCTTAAGGCCAGGAGTTCAAGACCAGCCTGGGCAACGTACTGAAACACCGTCTCTATAAACAATTTAAAAATTAGCCAGGCACGGTGGTGCATACCTATAGTCCCAGCTACTTGGGAGGAGGATCGCCTGAGCCCAGAAGGTCGAGGCTGCAGTGAGCTATGATCACACCACTGCACTCCAGCCTGGGCAGGAGGCAAGCCAGACCTTGCCTCTAATAAATGAATTAATTAATGAATGAATAAATAAATAATCACATAAAAATAGTGCAAGCATAGGCAGATAGAACTGCGAGGCATCCCTTAACTGGAAAGGCAGTCCTGGTCAGCTTTCTCCCTTTCCTTGTGTGAATCTCCGGAGGCCCTGAGGTTGAGTAATTGACACTGGGGAAGAGAGACTGGACCCTCGTGGTCAGTTTAACAACGTGTTAGATGCTCATCTTGGGTCAGCTACAACACTGGGTGTGGGATCCAGAACAAGTCTCTCAGCCTGCCAGTGAGTATGGATCTTGGGCGGAGTCCGTAAGCACACCCTGCTTCTGTTACAGCCCAACCAGGTCCTTACGCCCGCTGCCCAGAAAACCAAGACTGTCACAGCTATTACAGCCAGGAAAGAGCTTAATATCTCAAAGCCACTGAGTGAGGAGGGCGCCTCCCTGAGAACTCAGAGGCCAGGGTTTTTCAAAGGGATTTGGTGGGTGGGGGGCTAGGGACTACTGACTGGTGGGAGAGGATGTCGTGAGCGGTGTTGCAACTGTCTTCATGTCACAGACCCAGTTTCTGGGGAGCCAGCTCCTTGGTATGTGTCCCCGGTCTGGGTGGGGTCATGGGTTCACCAGTGTGAGTTCTGAAAAACATCTCAAGCTCCACTCAGGTTTTATAACAGGGAGACTATCTATAAGGCAGCTCTTGGACCATCAGCCACTGATGGTCAGCCACACGGAGACTGCTGTGTGGGAGGAGGAATCCCAGGAGGGGCTGCTCGCACCCTTCAGTGGATAAAGATCCAAGATGCCGCCCAGGGATCCTGAAGTCTTAGGTCATTGTTTAAGGGAAAATCAATTGCTCCTCATTGAATTACAAGCAATCTTCGAAATAATGAATTTATTTGAGTCGAAGTATCACTCTGTCGCCCAGGCTGGAGTGCAGTGGCACGCTCGCAGGTACCACAGCCTCCACCAGCTGGGCTCAGGCGATCGTTCCTCCTCAGTCCTCGAAGTAGCCAGAACTACAGGCATGCGCCACCATGCCTGGCTAATTTTTGATTTATTGTAGAGACGAGGTCACCAAGTTGCCCAGGCTGGTCTCGAACCCCTGGGCTCAGGCACTCTTCTCACCTCGGCCTCCCAAAGTGCTGGAATTATGGACTGAGCCACCACGTCCAGCCAGATTTGTTAATTTCTAATCATGGCTGCACCTTCATGGGCTCAGGTCTCTTTTAGTTTTTCTACCCATGACCTTCGCCAATTTCATAGAGGCAGTTTCACCTCAGCTCTCATCCATTTCCCTTCCAGGGAGCTAGTTTGCCAGCAGAAGAGAGAGAAATGGATCTGACTGTTCTGGCAGAGTCAGCCCTCTGGAGTTTCTTTCTAAGGCTCAGGAAGGACAATCATGCACCCTTTTACTGTCATGATCAGCACGATTACCCAAAGAGTTGTTTATAGTAGATGCGGTCATCTTTTCCACAGGATTCTTTTTACGTATGAACCAGTCATATCCAACTGGCAGATAGGGTCTTAGATTCCAATACTCAGGACTCCTAGTCGTGTGATCCTAACAGCTCACATCCCTCCAAATCTGGCCTCAAGCTCGTACCCTGATAATTCACGTCGTGCGTTGGCCCCTTGAGACACATGGCTACTGCCCTGCCTCCTGCCGCCCATGGGGACGCCCTCAGAAGGGGCACCTGCCCCGCCCAGCCTGCGTGTCCAGACTCTTCGCTCGCTCCCCAAGGGTCGGGGTACCCCTTTCCTCGTGGTCCGTCTCTCTCACTGCCAGGCTCAGGCTTCCCCAAGATCCTGGCTCTGGCTCCGCCCTCAGGGAGCACTCTGGGTTGGGGGGAAGGTCGGGCAATAAATAGGGGAGGCAGTGTGAAAGGAAACCTGCTGGGTTCAGGGCCCAGCCAACACCAGCCCCTTCAACCCCCACTCCAGCACCAAGAGACCATCAGAGGGGATGGGAGGTGCCTAGAACCGAATCGCCCCATCCTGCTGGCTCCACTAAGCAGGGACTGGCTGCATCGCCCCATCCTGCTGGCTCCACTAAGCAGGGACTGGCCTGCAGCCGCAAGGAAGTGAATTTCCTCACACTCAGGGCATCGGAGGGGCCGCCCTGACAGCACAAGCGGGGCAGAGCCCAGCCAGACGCGAGACACCCTGGGCTGATCCAGCTCCTCCCCCAGACCTTCTGAGGATGTGTCCCTGAGCGTCCCCAGAGCAAGGGCAGGGAAGGACTGGGCAGAGTGGCCGGGCGAGGCCCAGCAGGAACATGCTCCGAGAGGTCAAGGCTGTGGCTCAGGTTGGAACAGAGCTCTGGGTGGGCAGAGCCCAAGCTCAAGGATAATGAGAAAGGCCCCCACAGGGGGCAGTCTTCTTCATTTGCCCTTTTGGGAAAACAGCATTAGATTGTAGCTGACTGCAGCCTCGATTTTCTGGGCTCAGGCAGTCCTCCAGCCGCAGCCTCCTGGGTAGCTGGGAGTATAGGCACCACTATGCCTGGCTAATTTTTTGATTTTTTTGTAGCGACAAGGTCTCACCATGTTTCCCAGGCTGGTCTCAAACTCCTGGGCTCAGGCGATCCTCCCAACCCAGCCTCCCAGAGGGCTGGGATGACAGGCGTGAGCCACCATGCCTGGTCGGCCTCTGCCACAACCCTTCCAACAACAGAGCGCAGTGCTAATGGACCCACCAGGTTTTCCTTGCTCTTCGTGATTCTCTGGGCATCAGAATTTCCACTCCCGTGCGATTAAGAAATATTTGGTGTTTCAACACTATCTGGTGGTGTGTAGGTGTTTAAATGATTATGAAGTCAAAGCCTAATAGGTCTCAATCCCATGCAGATGTTAATAAAATAAGTGAAGGGACCCGACCCCCCAGGCTGAAAACAGAAGGGGTCAATGCAGGAATGAAAACCAGTGATTCATTCCTGAGCTTAGAGAGCGCAGATCAGTGACAGTCAAGGTGGTTTCCCCATCGCGTCGGTAGCCAAGGGCAGCAAGCCATTCCGAGTGTCTCTTGGGATTTTGACAACAGCAAACGTGTCTTTGTGTGTGCAGCTCCAGTGGCTGTTAGATAACTACGAGACGGCGGAAGGCGTGAGTCTGCCCCGAAGTTCTCTCTACAACCACTACCTTCGTCACTGCCAGGAGCACAAGCTGGACCCGGTGAACGCCGCCTCCTTCGGGAAACTGATCCGCTCTGTGTTCATGGGGCTGAGGACGCGGCGGCTGGGCACCAGGTGGGTAGACGGGGCGGAGGAAGCCGAGTGCGTGGCCACCCCCACGACACCCATCTTCCCTCTTCCTTTATCCAGAAATGCGGCTTCCTCCTCCTGTCGGGGTGTCCTGACCTGCAGCTGCCGTGAACTTGCAGTTGCACAGAGTTAGCAATGGTGTCAGCCGTGGCCAGGCATGGCCATGCTGGCTGGGGCCTGGCGACAGGACGTGGGGGTTCCCTCTGGTCTTCTCTCTCCTTTTGGAATCTCCCACGACCACAAGTTTTTTTTGTTTTGTTTTGTTTTTTGAGTTGAAGTCTCACTCTGTCACCCAGACCGGAGTGCAATGGCCGCTCCTGGCCACCGCAGCCTCGACCTGCTGGGCTCCGGCGATCCTTCCGCCTCAGCCTTCCAAGTAGCTGGAACTACAGGCACGCGTTACCACGCCTGGCTAATTTTAATTTGTTGTTGAGATGAGGTCTCATCAAGTTGCCCAGGCGGGTCTTGAACCTGCAGGCTCAGGCAATCCACTCACCTCGGCCTCCCAAAGTGCTGGGATGACAGGCTGAGCCACCGAGCCCGGCCGACCACAAGTTTTTAAAAGCAGTCTCTGGGTTACCTGGCAGGGCTGCCAGACCAATCCACCCGTTCTCCTTGGCCTGGGGCAACCATGGGATGTCACCCGCCACGGGCATACAGGCCTTGATGCGAACGCTCCTCCCATAGGAAGAAACAGCCACGCCCCATTCAGAGCATGGATTCTGCGATGCAGCTGGCCAGGCTGGCATCAGCCCTCTGTGGAGTTGGGCTCACACCTGCGCTCCCAGAGCGAGCATCCTGTCTACGTGGCAGTGGGTCTCTTGTTCCCTGGTCCCTTTTGGTCTTTTAGAGAGAACATTCTTCTGGAACCCGGACGCAGAAAGGAGAGGAAGGAGGGCAGGAGAAAGATAGGGAGCCCTGGTCCCTGGGGACACAGTCCCTGCTGCCAGTGTGGCCTTCACCTGGGGAGTGTCCTGAATGCTTCTTCAGAATTGGGGCTCAGGTCCCCATTTTCACTTTCTCCTAGCGTCCAGCTAAGCACATCCTTCATCTAGAAAGGGCCCAGGTGCCTCCTGTGTGTCCCCGGTGCCCGCTCTGGGGGAGTGGCACCGTGTGAGCCGGGATGTTTGCACAGCCTGTGCCTGCGGGGTCCTCTCTCTCTCCCGTGGGGACCCCTCGACCTGTTTTCTGACCTAAATTGTTTAAAGTCTTTTGGTCACCATTTCTCCCATAATAAAACGAAGGTAGTGGCTCCCAAACCATGCCATTTTCCAAAATGTGTTGCACTGAATGCCTGGAGGGGGTGGGAAAGAGATGTTAATAATAAAACAGTAATAATAATAACTAGTGGGCCATGTTCTCACCACAGGACTTATCAGAGCCTTTATCATACTAAAGTGTGGGAGGGAACTGTCCATGAGGGGGTGCTGTGTGCAGAATTTTCCCCAAATGTTTCTCACACAGTTCAGGAAACGCTGAATCAAAGTGGCCAGAATGAAGTGGTGGCACGCGCCTGTAGTTCCAGCTACTTGGGAGGCAGAAGCGGGAGGACTATTTGAGCCCAGGAGTTCAAGTCCAGCCTGGGCACAATAGCAAGACCCCCATCTCAAAAAAAGAGAAGAGTACCTATCTTGTTATTCAGAATGTCTGCAGACTATCTCCATAGTTCTGCCTTTTCTAGAATGTCACACTGTTGGAGTCACAAACGCGGGGATGTTTGGTTTCCAGGGGCAACTCGAAGTATCATTACTACGGGATCCGCCTGAAGCCAGACTCCCCCCTGAACCGGCTGCAGGAGGACACGCAGTACATGGCCATGCGACAGCAGCCCATGCACCAGAAGCCCAGGTGGGTGACCCGGCAGAAGCTGGGGCAGGGTGGGGCGGAGCGGGGCATCCATAGAGAACGCAGGGAGCAAGTGGCGCTTCTCAAAGGGAAAACGCAAATGGGGAGGGGCTCCACGGCGCATGCTCGATCAGCTCCCAGCCCCTGGCACCCTGGGAGAGCTCTGGTGTTCACCTCGGTGCCAGTGAAGGGAGCTCGTCCTGCTCAGTTTTCAGAGCTTTTATTAGAAAAAATGAAGAGTTCCCATACACCATACCCCTACCTACGCGCCACCGCCCCCACACAGCCAGGGTATCGGTTACAATCAGCCTCCATGGACATGTCACCATCACCCCGAGTCCACAGTTCCCTTAAGACTCACTCTCAGGGGTACGTTCCCTGGGCTCAGGCCAATGTCATGACAGGCGCCCACCACTGTACTATCATGACACAGTGGTTTCCCGGCCCTCACAATCCCCTATGCTCCTCTTCCCCCCGCAACCACTGATCTTTTACTGTTTCCATAGTTTTGCCTTTCCCAGAATATCATACTGTTGTAATCACAGATCTTTAATTTTTTAAGTTTAGGAAAAAAGTCGGGGGTGGTGGCTCGTGCCTGTAATCCCAGCACTCTGGGAGGCCAAGGCAGGATGGCTTGACCCCAGGAGTTTGAGACCAGCCTGGGCAACATAGTGAGTCCTCATCTCTACCAAAAAAAAAAAAAAGTCACAAGATTCACCAAGCATGGTGGTATACAGCTGTGGGCCCAGCTGCTTGGGAGTCTGAGACAGGAGGATCACTTGAGCCCAGGAGTTTGAGGCTGTGGTGAGCCATGATCATGCCATTGCACTCCAGCCTGGGTGACAGAGTAAGAGCCCGACTCAAAAAAGTTTAAGAAACAAAAAGGCAGAGAACACTACAAATAACCCAAGCAGCCAGGAGAAAGAAACTTAGATACCTAACTCACTACTTCTTCCTGACATTTTGACCCAGTGGCTGAAAAGGCCTGGATGTTTTCTGGTATATCCTCTTCACCGTCTGTCACAAACCTCCTCATCATCTAAGATAGAGGGTTGGCAAGTCACTCTATTGCCAGAGAGCAAGTGTCTCAGCCTCCGCAAGCTGGACAATTTCTATTGCAACAGTTCAACTCTGCTGCATCTTGAAAACAGCCACAGACAGCTGGGAAACCAGTGGGCAGGGCCACGTGCCAATAAAACTTTATTTACAAAACCAAGCAGCAGAATGGGCCCCTGGGCTGTGGTTTGCTGACCCCTGGTTTAGGGCTCCGCCCACATGTCATGGCCCCTACCCCTGAGAGGCAAAGAACACTTCCTCTCTCCTTGGCTCCCACTTCCCCTCTCTCCCTGGCCCCCTCTCCAGAGTCTAGACAGCTAGACTGCAAGCTCTTGGAGGACAGGGGCTGTGTCACATTCCCCATCCCAGGAAGGTGCCACCTGGCCGGCTGCACAGTCACTCACAAATCTGTGTGGCTCAAAAACCCACTGCAGCTGCCCGGAGTATCCCAGTACCCACCTCACCAAGTGGCCAGTCATGGAAACTGGAGGTTTCAGAAGCGTCTCCAGAATGTTCTTTGGAAGCCAACAGATAAGGATGGAGCCAGGAGTTTATCCTGTACCTGTTGTCTCTAGAGTTTGTGGTTGTTGTTCCGTCTAGCCCCTGGCAAACACCTGGGGGTCACACTCAGGCAGAGTGTTATTTTAGGAGCAGCCACACACCAGAGCAGGAATGGCATGACACCATCTGCTTTTGGAAGCCACAGCCTCAGCCTGAATGTCTGGTGCTCACGGCCCACCCTGAGCCAGACAGTTGGCACATCTGTCCCCGGCATGTTCTCCGCTGCCCAGCAGGTCTGGCCCACTTCTCTTGTGAGGAAAGGAGCCCCCATCTAGGGCCAGCTCCCACCCCTGCCACCGCACAAAATCTGGACTTCAAGGAGGGCACATCTGGGGACGCCCTCCCTCTATCAACATTCCTCAGCTGGCTGCCTAGACAGGGGTCTCCTGTTCTCTGGCTCAGGGACAAAACACAGTCCCAGAACCTCCTTTGGGATTGCACTATAGTAAGATGCTTGTGATTCCGTGCAAAGAATTTTTGTGTCTTTTAAGACAGAAACATTAGGGGGAAAACACACACACACACACACACTCACATGCACACACTCACACACACCCCAAGTATCCATCAGCAAAATGTGGTCCATCCATACAGTAGAATATGATTCAGCCTTTGTAAAGGAGGCTCTGACACAGGTTCCAGCATGGATGGACCTTGAAGACATTTTGCTCAGTGAAATAAGCCAGACACAAAAGACCGTATGATCTTGCTCCTAGGAGGTCCCTGGAGTCATCAGATCCACAGCAAGGGGCATGGGGGGTGCCAGGGGCTGGGGAGGTGACGGGGAGTGAGTGTTCCCTGGGGACAGAGCTTCCGTTTGGGAAGATGAGAAAGTTCTGGAGGTGATGGTGGTGATAGTTGTGCAAGAACGAGAATGTGCTTCATGCCTGCGCTGTGCACTTAACATAGATAAGATGGTGAATTTTGTGACACGTGTATCGGACCACACCTTGTAAAAAGCACACACACATAGCTGATCTCAGCACAGCCCCCCGCTTCTCGGGCCTACCCCCGGCAGTGCTCAGGCCTCATGAAATCACGTGTGTCCCCTGCCCAGGTACCGGCCAGCCCAGAAGACGGACAGCCTTGGGGACAGTGGCTCCCACAGCAGCCTACACAGCACGCCCGAGCAGGCCATGGCCGCACAGAGCCAGCACCACCAGCAGTACATTGGTGAGCAGCGCCAGCCCTGGCTCTCGGGGCACTCGTGGGTTTCAGTGGCATTTGAAGGGCTGCTTTCAATAGTTTCCTACCAGAGCAGTTGCTCATGCCTGTATTCCCAGCACTTTGGGAGGCCGAGGTGAGAGGATCGCTTGAGCCCAGGGGTTCGAAACCAGCCTGGGCAAATTGGTGAGACCCCCCTTCTCTACAAGAAATCATTAAATTAGCTGGGCATGGTTGCATGCATTTGTGTTTTAGCTCCTCGGGAGGCTGAGGCAGAAGGATTACCAAAGCCCAGCAAGTCGAGGCTGTGGTGTCCGTGAGGGTGCCACTGCACTCCATCCTGGGCAACAGAGTGAGACTCCAACTCAAAACAAAAAGTTTCCCGTGTGACAACCGATCCATCAAACAGAAACTTCTAGATAAACCTTCTTCCTGGTGTCCCTGAGATCATAGAATAATTAGCATATGCCAAAAAATGAATACACAAAGTGACCGTCCGAAAAATGAGTGAATGAAATGAAATAACCATCAGAAAGAATACTAGATGCTGTCTTTTATAGTCCATCTGCTCATAGGTACAGCAAGAGTTGCCTGCTATTCTGGGCTTTGTCTTTTATTTTTTTAGAAACAGGGTCTCGCTCTGTCACCCACGCTGGAGAGCAGTGGTGCCATCACAGCCCCCTGCAGCCTCAACCTCCTGGGCTCAAGTGATCCTCCTACTCCAGCCTAAGTAGCAGGGACCACAGGCACCCGCCATCACGCCAGGCTAATTTTTAAATTTTTCTCCAGAGACAGAGTCTTACTATGTTGTCCAGGCTGGTCTTGAATTCCTGGCCTCAAGCAGTCCTCCCGCCTCAGCCTCCCCAAGCCCTGGGATTACAGGCGTGAGCCACAGCGCTGAGACCCTTGCTTTTTACCTGGAGCTTGGAGGGAGCTTTCAGTTCCCTGACACAAGGCAACCTCAGCTTGTTCCCTGGGGGCCTCTCAGGGGACAGCATCCCTCCCCAGCTGGCCCAACTGCAGCACCATCTCTGAGAGGGCTCCCTAACTCAGAGCCTGTCCTATGGTCACTCAGGGAAGGCTCAGTGATGTCCGTGTCGTGATCCAGGAGGCTTCCATGTGGCTTTCCTGAAGGTTTTGAGCCCAGACAGAACCCTTCTTGAGTCTTCTGCAGAGCCTGAGGCAGGGTCGGGCCTGTCTCCCCGAAGTCCCTGACACTGAGGCTGGCCACCTCCCCGGATGCGCTGCCCAGGCTGCTCGTGGGTGCCACAGTGGCGCCGAGAACGTGGCTGTGAGCACTCGCTTTGTGCCAGGGCTGGGGCTTCATTTGTGTCTGCACACTTAATGCCCCGGGTTATGACGACTGTCCCCCTGATGAAACTGAGTCCTACGCACTCCAGACCGCATGGATAGCCGGCATGTCAGTTTCCAGGGCCCCTTGGTGCTTGGGTCTCAAGGTTGCTCACCGTCCCATTGAACTCAGAGCCCTTGTTCCTGACGCCCTGGGTTCCTCCCCAGATGTCTCCCATGTGTTCCCGGAGTTCCCGGCGCCTGACCTGGGCAGCGTCTTGCTGCAAGAGAGCATCACGCTGCACGACATCAAGACCCTGCAGCACGCATACCGACGGCACTGCGAGGTGACACCCCGAGCCCAGCGGCAGCTCCCTCCCTCCCCTCCCTTCCTCAGACCCCGCAGGCACGCGCAGGCATCCCTGGGTGTCCCCAGGCCACACCAAGATAATAGGAGCCCCCGGGGGCTCGCCACGCGTCCCTTCCTCCCGTTTGTGTCACTTACCTCTCTCCTCCCTTGTGGCTTCTCGGGGTCTCAGAAGACCCCGCTGCAGCCCAGGCCACAGCTGCCTGCCCGGCATGCTCTGAGGCCACGTGACAGGCCCACATCGGGCCTCACCGGTCACTTTCGTTCCCAGGCAACCCTCGATGTCGTGATGAACCTCCAGTTCCACTACATCGAGAAGCTGTGGCTCTCCTTCTGGAACGCCAAGGCCTCCTCCAGTGACGGCCCCACCTCCCTGCCTGCCAGGTGACCGCCCATCGCCATGCCAGGCCACGACTGTCATGCCCCGGCTCAGTTCACAGGCCCCAAGGCTGAACCCCCAGGCGACCCAAAATCTAACGTGTCAGTCAGGGCTCGGCCCCTCCTCGCGTCCCTATAGTTCTCGGGTTCCGTAGGGTTGATCTGCAGTTCACGTGGCCACGTGGCCCTCACGTGGCCCTTTTAGGTCAGACCCTCTGGACATGGAGGATTTTAAAGGTGGCCACGATGTGGTCCCAAGTACAAGCAGCCTCGACTCATGGCCACAGTGAGACACATCACGTTGGCCACTGGCAGGGGAGGGGACACATGGGTCCCAGGGGGACTGCAGAAGCCCTGGGAGCAGCGTGGGTGGGGGTGGGTCAGTGCTCGGGGACAGGCAGCACGACCCACAGCCACTGTCCCCCTCCTCTGTGGCCAGCCGGGTCCTGCAGCCAGGCTCTGGTCATTCCCACGCTAGGCCGTGCTCACCTGGCCCCATCCCTCCACAGCGACGAGGACTCGGAAGGCGCTGTCCTCCCCAAGGACAAGCTCATCTCTCTGTGCAAATACGACCCCATCCTCCAGTGGATGAGAAGCTGCGACCACGTCCTCTACCAGGCGCTGGTGGAGATTCTCATTCCCGACGTGTTGAGACCGGTCCCCAGTAAGCCAACCCCTCCCTGCGTGGGCCTGTCACCGTCTCCCCCTTGCCCCTGTCCTTTCCTGGCCTGCACATCCTCAGCCGCTGGCGCCATCCCCTCCACAAAGAACCCCGAGCGAGAGCAGCCGGCAGGCGTTTCGGGAACGGGCTTCCTCTGCCACTCGTATTTGTCCTTGTTTCTGTCCTGAGGGGAGGGTCACAGACCATGGCCACTGTGAACCCTGCCCACGATCAGAACCAGCTGAGAACGGGTCTGGTTAGATTCAGTGCATCTAGTTTCATTGAGGGGTACGCAAGCCGGCCTCTGGGAGCTGCCATTGCTGTGGGAGGTCATGGTCCAAGGTCATATGGGGTTGCTGCCCACCCTGGTCCTAAGGACAGCCACCAGTTGCCCCATTCCAGCTTCCCTATAAGCCCCGCCCTGTAGGAGGGGCATGAAGCCGGAATCGTGGCCCTCTGCGCCTGCAGCCCGACCTTTCACCCCCAGCCAGACCTCGCGGGGCCCAGCTCCCTCAGACCCTGCTGTCCAGCACCCTGAGATTTGGGGAGACATTTACTCCCCGGTACTTCTGTGCTCTGTGATGTCCCCACAGGTCTTGGGGGTTGGGTCAGAGTGACAGGCCACGGTGACAAAGGAGACAAGCCCAAATGTGTACAGGATGGACTTGGCTTCCACAGGGAACCCTTGGGCCAGGCCCGGGCCAGGCTCCTGCAGCTCTCAGAGTGGACAAGGAAGCTGGCCACGGAGACCTCTCCCACTAAGACCCCGTGTGGGCACTGTGGGCCACACCGAGCCGCTGGTCACTACACACTTGGGGCTGTAAATTCTCAGCAGATCTGGGTCTTTCCCAGTGAACGTGCGCTCCTTTTGGCCAGAGGGAAACAGCCAAGTATTGCATTTCCCGTTGGCCTCGCTGGCTGAAAACCGCTCAGGGTAGCACCCAGATTGTCTCTAGATCACGGTGGGAGCTTGGAAAGGGTTTCCTTTTTCGTTTTCTTGAGTTTTTTAAAACAGTCTTATTATTTGTTTCCTATTGTAAGTCATCTCAAAATAAATTTGGAAGTTGGGAGGAGATATTTACGTGTGTGTGTGTGTCAGGGTTACCGTGAACACTCGGGGCCGGATCGCTGTCTGGGGTAGGGCCATCTTGGGCACTTCAGGGTGCGAAGCAGCCTCCCTGCCTCCACTTCTCCATACCAGGAGTACCCTCCCCTCCCAGTTGTGACAATCACGAATGTCCTCAGACCTGGCCAGTGCCCCCCGGGGGCAGGATCACCCCAGAGAGAGCCACTGTCAGGCCTCAGGTGGTGATACCTAGCCCCGGGCTGCCGCCACCCCAACCTCTGGCTTCACCGCTTGGTTCCTTCTTCTGCTGCTTGCTCCCTGGGGGGGGTCCTTTCCATGGAAGCAGCACTGCCTCTCACCCGGAGTGCTGACTCTGAAGGACAAGACACTGCCTTCCTCCTTGGTGAGGCCGTGGTCTGTCTCTCCCAGGCACCCTGACACAGGCGATCCGTAACTTTGCCAAGAGCCTGGAAGGCTGGTTGACAAATGCCATGAGCGACTTCCCGCAGCAGGTCATCCAGACCAAGGTAACGGGGGTGGCTTCTGCCCTTCCCCCAGCACAGCCGAGGGAGCCTGGAGTGGGCAGAGGAGGGGCCCTTCCCCGCCCCAGGGGAGCATGGGGACTGCTCTGCCGCAGAGAAGTGCTTCCTCTGAGTCACGAGGGCCCGCAGTCCCTTCAGGAAGTCTCAGGATGCCGGTGATGGGGAACAGGTGCTGGCAGGAGGGGGCGAGACAGACGTTACTTGGCATCATAGATCTGAGTCAATGGGTCGTTCAGAACAGGTGGAGTGTCCTGCACTCAGCCTGGGAGGGGAATTTAGCCTTCTTGCTGTGACCCTTTTTATTATGATCCTAACCACAAATCAGAAGTTAAAGATAGAGTCTTGGCCTGCACGTGGGACAGAGAATGATTACGTTCTCACGAGCATTTCTTAACAAGCTACCAAGTACAGATGAAACAGCTTCAGGGCATCTGGTCTACCACCTAGCTTCGGAATGGATCTGTGAGTCGGTGATCCTCAACCCTTAGTGTGCAAGCGCACTGCCTAAGGAGTTGCTAAAAATTCAGTTTCCCAGGCCACACCCCAACACTCTGACCCAGGAGGGCCCAAGAATCTGTATTTTCAACTGACACTCCAGGGAGCCAAAGGAATTCTGGAAGTAGGAGCATGAATGAGGACGCTGTCGTGAATTTTAACCCACCAGGGCGGCAGGCATGATAGGGACGCCACGTGAAGCAAGTACTGACAAGACCTTGATCCTTCACCGATTCTTACTCTCGGGGACTTTAAGAATGGCAGGGAGTTGGCCAGGTGCGGTGGCTCATGCCTGTCATCCCAGCACTTTGGGAGGCTGAGGCAGGAGGATCACTTCAGGCCAGGAGTTCGAGACTAGTCTGGCCCACATGGCGAAACCTTGTCTCTACAATCAATCACAACACGAGCCAGGCATGGTGGTGTGTGCTTACAGTCTGAGCTACTTAGGAGGCTGAAGTGGAAGGGTCACTGAGCTTAGGAGTTTGAGGCTGCAGTGAGCTATGATCATGCCACTGCACTCCAGCCTAGGAGACAGGTGGAGACTCTGTATCTAAATTAAAAAAAAAATTTTAGAAAGCGATTGGCAGTAGTGGAAAACTGTCGGGGGAGGGAGGGTGGGATTGGCAGTTGAGGGAAACTGCTAGGGGAGGAAGGGGCATACCTCATCAACAAGGGTACCCGCATGATCGATGTTTGTATATCTAACCCTGAAGTGTACCCCACACCTTCATAATAAATAAAAAAATTTAAAGAATGTTGGAGGGTGGGTGCCTCTTCCCCACTGAAGTTACCCTTTCTATCCCTCCTTCCCACATTGGCCCTGAACCCACGCACGCCTGCAAGGAGCAGAGCAGAACAGGTCTCCCCGCGTGCCACCTGCTCACCGAGGCCTCGTTACAGGTCGGCGTCGTCAGTGCCTTTGCCCAGACTCTGCGGAGATACACGTCCCTCAACCACCTCGCTCAGGCGGCCCGGGCAGTGCTTCAAAACACGTCCCAGATCAACCAGATGCTCAGCGACCTCAACCGCGTGGACTTCGCCAACGTGCAGGTGACTTTCTCCGGTGCAGGCAGGGCTCGGGGCCCTGAGCTGAAGAGCAGAGGCCACGTCTGCGTGGCCCTGGCCCCCTAGACCACTTCCCACCCCCTAGAAAAACCAGCAAACCCACAACAAAGCCTGGCACCTGCCCCATGCCAGGCCCATGAAGCGGATCCCAGGGCAAAGCCCACCCACCGCGCACAGCGCCTCTATTCCACGCTTTCTCAGGTCCCCTGGCCTTCTCCTTACAAAGGCTCCCAGCTGCTGGGATCGGGCACATTTATCCCCACCCGTCCTCCCTTGGCCACTGTCCTGGCTGTGTCCCCCAGGGCTTACAGAGTCCATTGCATTTCAGGCCCTGTGTTTATCATTAGATACGTACACACACGTACACACACACACATATCTAGGAGAGTTGAGCCCTTCAAAGTAAAACAAAGCAAAGACACGACATGGCGTGGACTTGGATCCAGAAGACCTGGCAGTGAATGCCCAAAAGCTGGCAGGTCCCCTCTCTGGCTCCTATGGACTGGACTGGGCCTGCCTAGCTTGCAGCTGTCAAGACCAAAGATGAGAAGACTCACACGCGGCCCAACGTCCCACCCAGAGCCCCTGGGTCTGGGAGCTGCATGGCGTGGCGTGGCATGGCATGACAGGGCCTGCGGCGGGCACAGCGGTGCTGACGCCAGCCTCTGACCCCACAGGAGCAGGCCTCGTGGGTGTGCCAGTGTGAGGAGAGCATGGTGCAGAGGCTGGAGCAGGACTTCAAGCTGACCCTGCAGCAGCAGAGCTCGCTGGACCAGTGGGCCAGCTGGCTGGACAGCGTGGTCACCCAGGTCCTGAAGCAGCACGCCGGCAGCCCCAGCTTCCCCAAAGCCGCCCGCCAGTTCCTGCTGAAGTGGTCCTTTTACAGGTAGGTCGTGCTGAGTCTCCAAGAGAAACTTCTGGGGGCTGCTCTGAGCTTAGAGAAAAACGGGGCTCCGTAGGGCTGGGGCAGTGGCCAAACCCCTGAAAACAGTGCTTGAAATGTGGGCCTCCCTCCTGGCGGGGGGCGCCCAGGGGCAGGTCCAGAACAAAGCGGCACGCGTCCCCGGACAAAGTCGACGGCAGGGACTTCAGGAGAAGATCAGCAGCTGCAGCACGCGTTTATTCCTGCTCCCTAGCGAGTCTCACTCAAGCGACAGTCAGAGAAGCTCTTAAAAGGCTCAAGCCTGCCCGAGGAAGTGGCTCCTGCCTTTAATCCCAGCGCTTTGGGAGGCTGACCCAGGAGGATTGAAGCCCAGAGTTTGAGATCGGCCTGGGCGACATAGCGAGACCCCATCTCTCCCAAAAATTTTAAGAATTAGCTAGGCATGGTGGTGCGTGCCTGCAGCCCCACTACTCAGCAGGCCAAGACAGAAGAATCACTTGAGACCAGGAGGCTGAGGCTGCATTTATGACTGCACCACTGAGCCCCACCCTGGGTGACAGAGCAAGACCCTGTCTCTAAAAAACAAAAGCTACCTCAACCGAAGAGCACAAGTCTCCAAATTACAAAAGCTGCCAAGGCCCCAGCACAGTGCAATGAGAAGACACTCCCCAGAGATTTCAGAACAAGCTGACACAGTAGTAAAATCTTCCAGAAAGGAAACAACAGGCTGGGACTTGGAACGGCGTCAGACTTCTGAGTGACAGAGCAAAAGCCTAGAGGGTCAGGCAGTGTCCTCGGGTCTCTGAAGGGAAACTCTTCCCATGCTGACTAGGCAGGGGTGCCCAGGGAGGGATACCCGAGAAAGGCCTGAGCCTACTGACATGGCTCCTGCAGTTCTGTGGGAAAGTTATGGTCTCACTCAGAGATAAATACATGAAAAAGCGTGTGGTTTTTTTTAAGAGGTAGTTATTACTGCCCGGAAAGCAATAAGCTGTCGTGTGGCTGACAGGCCCCGTATGGTCCATCCCATGTGCGAGCCACAGCCAGAGGGCCAAATCGTTCCCCCTGGTTGTGCAAATAAAGTTTTATTGGAACTTCAGCCACACCCATTCATGCACAGATCAGCCGCAGAGTAGGTTGTTGCAAACAGAAAAGTGTAACTTGGCCACAAAACCACGTGTTCACCGTCCGGCACTCAGGAAAACAAGTTTGCTGGCCGCTCAGCTAGCCAGCCAGCACCTCCCTGTTCTCGGCTCCTCTCACTCAGTCCTGGCTTTGTTGCAGGACTTCCGCATACCCCCTCCCCGCCTTGGACAGCCTTCCCTAGACAGCCACAGGGCTCCATCATCCTCAGAAAAACCCTCCAAGACCTTCCTAAAGAAAACAGCTGGTTCTATCCCCCAAGCCCTGCTTTCCTCCTGGTGCTGACACCTTTCACCTTGTCGTCTGTCTGCTCCTCCATGGTCAAGCATGTTTCCCGAGAGCTGGAACATCACACCCATTCACTGCCCTATCCCGAGTCCCTAAATGTTGGCTGACTGAGTGATGGATTGAGAGGAACGATATGCCCTGTAGACCGTGTAGCCCAGCTGTGGACTTCATATCGTCCCTGCCACGTAACAGAATCGTTGAGGTAGTGATGGGAGGAAAAGCAGCAGGGAATGTCGTGTGACAGGAAGGACCGAGAGCAGGAGTGAGCCCAACTGAGACCTCTGCCTGTGAGAGGAACGCGGCTCCGAGTGGAAGGGCAGGGCGTGCTGCTCATGAGGACTCGGTGCCACTTGACTTGGTTGCTATAAAACTTCAGGGAGCTACAGGCCCATCGGCAGCTGGGACATATGCGGTAACCACAGACGGTGTTCTGGAAACACTTTGGACTGTAGGAATAGGGGTGCAGAACACCAGGACCCTGTCTCAGGGAAGGAGTCTTGGGAGCTGAGCTGGGTGGGCTGGGGGAGCAGGAGGGGTCATGAGTTTGCAGCTGTGCTGATACCGAGGCATAGACAGCTGTAGTGCTTGTGGGGGTCTCTCTGCTTTTCTCAGCCCTTCCTGTTCCTTCTGTTGCTGCAGTTCTGATTCGGCCTAGCAGGGAGCTTGAGGGCTTTCACTGTGAGACAGGGTGTTGGGGCTGCATGGCAGGTGTGCTGTAGGCCAGCTTTTTACCAGGTATCTCGTTATGTAATTCCCGTAGGTCAGGGATCGCCCTTTCTGGAAGGACCGTATAGTGTTTGCAGACATGGTAGAGAAACCCACACCTACAGTAATGGGCACAGCGTGTGCCAGAGAAACGCTCCACGTGGATGTGGAATGTGAATTTCTGTAATTTTCACATGTCACCAAATAGAATTCTTTTGACTCTTCCCAGCCATTTTCCAATCTGAAAGCCCTTCTTGGCACGCAGGCAGAGAGCAGGGTGTGGCGTGGGTCTGAGCCGTAGTTTGCAAAACCCCTGGTTTAGCTGAGAGACGAAAGCACCCTGGACGTCTGTCTCGTTTTCAAGTGCCCCAAACTGCTGGCTGAGGAGTGATGGGTGGTAGGGATGCCAGGGGCGAGGCAGGCACCCTGCTGGGGAGACAGGAACCAGCTGCCGCGTCTGCCCTGATTGAGTCACCAGGTCCCTGAAAAGCCTTTTGAGCCAAGACCCTGTCTCCAGTGCTAGTGCTGGAAACAGTCACACGTGTCTTCACGGGGCCTCTTGCGTGACAGCCGCCTGCCCCGGCTTCCCCTCCTGCCTCCACGTGGCCTCTGGGACTGAGCCGGCAGCCCTGTCCCCACCCATCCTTCATGCTGGACTCAAGGTGGTCTTGGCAGGGCAGATCCAAGGACCGCTCGGGCGTCGTCTGGGTTCCCCGATGAGCAGGGAGTGGGGAGACGTCGCTGTCTCGATGTTGGCCGGCAGCCTCCGGCTGCGTCCTCCCTGAAGGTCTCCGGGCCTCTGTCTGTCGCAGCTCCATGGTGATCCGGGACTTGACCCTGCGCAGCGCCGCCAGCTTCGGCTCGTTCCACCTCATCCGGCTGCTCTACGACGAGTACATGTTCTACCTGGTGGAGCACCGCGTGGCCGAGGCCACCGGAGAGACGCCGATCGCCGTGATGGGGGAGGTAAGGCTCTCCTGCTGCGGGAACCCCGGGACACTGGGCCTGCAGGGAAGGGCAGCGCTGTGAGGTGGGGACCGCAGGCGGCCGGAGAGGAAACTCCTGCACATTCTGCTGCTCTGCCCTTCATGGGGTTTTTATTGTGACAAAAGACATAGAGCATAAGATGTACCCCTTTAAAGAACACCGTTCAGGGACACTTCGCGCATTCACAATGTGCACCATGACCATTGTCCACTTCCAGAATATTCCATCTCCCCAATCGGAAATCACGTCCCCATCAGCAGTCACTCCCATCTCCTCCCCCTGCCCCAGGAGCCCATGTGCTGTCTCTTTGGATTGGCCTGTTCTGGATGTCATAGAAATGAAATCACATGCCGTGTGTCCCTTTGTGTCTGGGTCTCTCACTGAGCATGACACGCTCAAGGTCCACCCGCATGGCCTGTGTCAGAGCCTGCTTCCTTTTCACGGCTGAGTCACGTTCCACGTGTGGACAGGCCATGCTGTCTCGATCCGTCCTCTCTCGCCGGATGCTTGGTTTGCTTCTGCCTTCTGGCTAAACAGAAGCGGCATGGACACGGGCATACCCATCTCTGGGTGCACGCCTGTCCTCAGTTCCTCGTGATGGCTGTGGGCCTGCGGGGCTGCGTGGGCAGGCTGGAGGAAGAGCTGAGAGGATGCTGGTTGAAGTTTGAGTGCACCACGAGCCCATGATGAATGGGGGGGTGTCCTGCACACTTCTGCAATAGTCACTGTCTCTCTCTGTGGATACCCCTGACTCTGGGCTTCCCTTTCAGTTCAACAATCTCACCTCCCTGTCGCTGACGCTGATCAACAAAGGTGGGTGTGTCCACGGGTTTCCCGCCAAGACCCTCCCAGGGGTTGGTGCTCCCAGCCCTGGCCTGGCCACCCCCTCGTTCGATAAGCAGGTGGAAATCTGGGCGGCCCCCGGGGGGGCATTGGGGGCCTGGGAACTGGCATCCAGATGGCAGGTGTCAACTTGGCAGTGGGTGTGTGTCCCTGTGATGCTCCTGAGGACCAGTGGGGCTATGGCTCAGAGCTCAACCCTCCTGGTGCGCACCTGCCCCCAGGTACCTCCTGGACGGGGTGGCCCAGACCTCCTGCACCCACAGCCAGTGGGAGAGTGGGACCGGCAGACCAGAGGGGCCCTTGGGCCAATTCCCCATCCCACGGGGGTGGGAGGACCAGCCGCCAAGGGGACCCCAGAGGTCCCAGCCCTGTGGGGGCATGGGCAGGCCCATCAGCACTGGCCAAGGGAGGTCACAGATCAGAAGCTCCCTTAATGCCCAACCTGGGGGCTGAGGACAGGTCAGCCCGGCCGGAGGCCGAGGCAGGGTGCACAGGCTGCCACGTGTCCCTGTGCCCCGGCCTGTCCGCGCCTGTGCAGCCCTGAACGTGCCTCTCTCCCCCTCCCGACGGACGCTGACCCGGCCCTGCAGATGGCATCAGTGACGAGCACCACAGCGGCGAGGCCGACGCAGACGCCCGCGGCCTGGGCGAGCCCCTGGTGAAGCGGGAGCGCAGCGACCCCAACCACGCCCTGCAGGGCATCTAGCGGCCGGCGGGCGCCTTCCGCGAGGTTCCGGAAGACTCGCCTGGCCGCCCTGGGAACCTGGACTTGACCGGCTCCACCGCCTTCGTGCCTCTCAGATGATGCGATGTTTACTCTGACTCAAGGGGGTTCAGTGTCCGTAAAAGGACGAGATTTTGCTCAAGAAGAAAAGTGGCTGTTGAGGCCGCAGAGGTTCGCATCGGGCTTTCCCCCACCTCGTGGCCATGTCCTGGGCTTCCTGAGGGCCCCAGCTGCCACCAGGGCTGCACCGCCGCCTATTCCTTGTTGGGGATGAACCCACCTCCGCTGCGATCCTGGACTTTGGCCCAAATCCCTTCAAGAGCCACAGGCCTGGGCGTAGGGTGTTGCACCTCCTGCAGCTGGTGCCCGTTTTCACCGCGAGTTTTTAAAATAGCGCTGGCAGAGCCCGGGAAGAAGGGACAACCTCTCCTCGCCTCGTCCTGTGCTGGGCAAGTGCAGAGCTCACAGGCGTCCCTGGAAGCCACTCATGCGTGGAAAGCGGAGTGCCCTAGCCCTGGTACCTATGGCGGGAAGGGACCATCTCAGCACTGTGCCTTGTGACCTCTAGGGACAGACCATTCTCAGCATCCTGCCTGATGAGGCAGTGAGACTGGCCGTCCCCACAAGAGTCCGATCTCCAGACGCCACAGGGCTCTCCCGAAGCAGCTGACAATCGCTTTGTCCTGGCGGGATCTGCAGGCTGCACCAGTCCAAGCCATGGGGCGGGCCATTTGTCCAAGACACAGCAGCATCTGAGAAAACCCAAGCCACAAGTGTCCCCAGCAACGGCAGAATCTGGGCTTCTGGCCAAGTTCACAGTCAACAACCTGCCAGACTGCTGGCTCTCGATCGCGTTTGTTCACGGGGTCAGTGTGACAGCCGTGACTCCAGAGGCAGCCACCCCAAGTGTCCTCGTCCAAACAGCAGTGCCTGTGTCCCGCTCCACGGAGTCTTCCAGAACACCCCCTCTGAGTTCATCCTGGAGCACTCCCACCCGAGTCCCACCTAGACCTCTTCAAAGTCAAAACTCTTCCCCGGGGACAAATACCCAGGACTTTTGAACCCCTGAACTTCAGACGCTCCAAATGTGTCCCTATTGAAAGTGTAGCCATTGCACTGAGTTCTGTCCCAAAGCCAGCTGCAAAGGACAAAGCTCGGGATGGGACGCACCGTCTAATGAAATGCAATAGTTTCTCTTTTTGGAAAAATGTTTATACCAATAGTTTTGTGCTCTAATTGTTATTAGAATGTTTCTTATGAATGTGTATATTGCAGTATATTCTGACCCAGATATGTTGTTCTCGTTCACGCAGAAGGTACTTATGTAAACTCACATGGCCTTTCAAAGCCAGACCTCGTGGCAGTCAGGCGCCCTGCACGCCTCGCCCCGCGTCCACGGAGGGGGCGGAGGAGGGGACACGCACTCATTTTAGAAAGAGTCCGTAATCATCACGATGTCTGTCTGGTCTTGTAGTTCAAAACGTAGATGAAATCAGACACAAAGAATGTCTTTAAAATATCGGCCTCCTCTCTGGGAGGCGTGTGAGCTCCCGGGCCGCGGATTGTAACGACCCAGCTTCTCCCACTGTGGTAACCAATACAACTGGTTTCTGCCTTACACTCCGTCCCGTCTTTTGGAGGACCCGTGGGAGGGACAGGAATGGCGGGAAGTCTCGAGCACCTTGACCCGTCCGGTTTTCATAGCACACGCTGAGCACACGCCCATTGCTGGGGTCGCTGTCCACCCCCAGCCCCTTCCCCACGGTGCCGTTGGAGCACCAGCGCCCCCTGCCCTGGGACACCAGCCTCGGAAGGCAGGGGTGCCCTCTGACCTAGCCCGCAGGCTCCTGGGAAGCTCTAGTGCCTTCCAGAAGGAACCAGCACCCCAAGCTTCCTCTCAAGGCCAGCCTGAGCCAGTGGTGGCACGAAAGCAGTTCTTTGCCCCGGATGGTCAACGTCTCCTGCTTATATCTGCAAACAGACGAGACACATCCAGATGTGGCACAGGAAACAGACATGCCAGTTGCAGACACGCGCCACTGGTGGTTCTTGGGATTTGTTCAGTTCAGTAATCAGTCCCAGCTTCAGAATCCTGGAGAACCCAGGCAAAAGCTTGTGTGAAAACAGCCCATTCCTGGGCCCCATCCACAGAGTCCAGTGAGATTAGGGTGGGGGTCAGGAATCACAGAACTGTCACTATCCCTTCTCAGGGGACTGTGATTCTGGGACTTACAGGACTCTGAAGAAATCCTGCAGAGGAGAGTGAAGGGCTCAGGAGCCAGGAAGGGCTTGTAGCTGGAGGATGCCCCAGAGAGGCTGACACGGTTCCCAGTCAGCTGTCCCTAAGTCTGTTTCTCAGGTGCCAGCCAGATCCTCTGTCCCGCGTAGAGGGGCCGGGGTCCCAGGTGATACTAGAATCACCTATCACTTACCTCCCTGGGCCTGTGCTTGGTTTAATGATCTGCTGTCACTGTCATGAGTTCTTTCTTTTTCCTGAGACAGGATCTCACTCTGTCACCCAGGCTAGAGTGCAATGGTGTGATCATAGCTCACTGCAGTCAAACTCCAGGGCTCGGGTGATCCTCCTGCCTCAGCCTCCCGAGTAACTGGGACTACAGACGTGCACCCTCATGCCCAGCTAATTTTTTTTTTTTGGAAAGATGAGGTCTTACTACGTTGCCCAGGCTAGTTTCGAACTCCTGGCCTCAGGCGATCCTCCTGCCTCGGCCTCCCAAAGTGCTAGGATTACAGGCATGGGCCACCACAGCAGACATATCTTAAATTTTTGAACAACGGGCCCGTGTTTTTATTTTGTGCTGGGGTCCCTCAAATGTTATGGTCTGTCCTGGGAACTCCCAGGACTCAACTATCCCAACTCTGTGCTGACTGCTGCCAGGCTGAGCATCCAGTGGGAATCCACGAGCCCCGCCCTCTAGTGGGTCACAGTTCCAGAACGTTCTTGCGCCAAGCTCTCTCCCCTGAAGCCCCCGAGCCAAATCAGGCAAGTGCCAGGCCTTATACGCAGCACAGCTGCCTCCCCGCATCCCCTGCCAGCCCACCCCCTCAGAGAGCCAGGCCCGGCATGGGATGGGAGGGCCCTAGGGTGAAAGGCCCAGGTCTTCCTGCCTTGGGGCCCAAGAGGCTGGTGAGGAACCTCATGACATGATGTGGCCCCCCCACCTCCCCGTGATGACCACCCAGGGAGACAGAACGAGCCTCAGAGGGCCCAAGGCTTCAGGCACTTCACAAACAAGGTGAACCTCGGTCCTATCCAGCTCCTCCAGGAGGTAATCACTGCAGGTTCCACACTAGACACGTCTCCTGTCCCATCTCCTCTTTTTTGACAATCTTTTTAAGGTAAGCGTAACCCCCATTGTACACATGGGGAAATTTTCATGGTGCGGGCTGGAATGCAGACATGACAGCTGGAGCACTGCAGCCATCTTGAGCCTGGAGGCAGAAGTCACATGATGAGGATGGCATAGCAATGAGACAGAAGGAGGCTGGGTCCCTGGTGATGACAGAGCTGTCATTCCAGCCCCTGCAGCTTCAGGTGGGAGAGGAGCAGGGGCCCCACGGATGTCACTGCCTTCGCCAATTTTCTGGTGGCAAGAACTCTGCTGCAAGATGGGAGGCGCCCACATGTACCCCAACTGCAGGCGGGCTGAGGGGGCGATGCCCTCTGGTGGGGAGTGCCCTGTCCCTTAGCTTTTCTCCCAGCTCTCTGGCTGCTGCTGCCCCTCTGCCCCTGGGCCTCTTCCCCTCCACACCCTCAGTGGCCTCGGCCACTCCCACGGGTGGAGCGAGACTGGAGCTCGGGGTCTTGATCGTCCAGACCCCTCCCTGGTGTCCCCATCACTGCGTGGGCCCCGCCCTTCAGCCCTTCTCCCTCCCCCAAACGCCTCCCTTCCTCCTTGGCCAGGAGAGGCGGCATGACACAGCAGCACAGACAAGCCTGCACCCGTCCGAGGGGCAGCTCCACAGTCACTAACTGCGCCTTCAAGTAAAGAGCTTTGCTCAGGTTCTCCATCTGGAAAAAAGATGATAAGAATACCCACCTTGCAGCATTGTGAGAAATGAGTTAATACGCAGAAAACTCCTGCATCAGTAACTGTTTCTCCCACTGGGCACTGTGGAATACCGAGGGGCCCAGGTCATTCTCTGGGGTGAGGTGTCCTGGGCACTGCAGGGTGCTGAGCAGCACTCCTGGTCGCCACCTACCCCATGCCAGGAGCGCCCCCAGCCATGACGACCACCAGTGTCCCCAGACATTGCCCAGGGTCTCCTGGGAGGCCCCTTCATCTTTCGCGCCCACCTTCATTGGCACCTCTTCCAGGAAGGCTTCCCAGATGATCCCTGGCTAGATTTGGATCACTTACACCCCCATCTCCCCTGCCACGTTTGAGAGCACTTGTTTGCAGTTCTGTCTTTCCCATGAGCTCTGCGTGACTGGCTGTCATCACTGTGCTCAAACTGGACTCCCAACTCCATAGCAGTGTGTGCTCAGCAAACCCCGAGTGAGCCGGTGAGAAAGGATTCCGGGTAAGGGGGCTCTTCACGGCGCTGGCAGGAAGGTGGGGAAAGGGAGCCTCCCACCCCCAGCCTGGAGAGAGAATTCCTGGAGCAGGGACCAGGAAGGGCCGCAGTAAAGAGACTGGAATTCACACAGAAGGCCACCGCTGGGGTTCTCATAAGAGCAGAGCCGCTTTCGAAATATTTATCCTGCAAGGGCAGATTACAAGGAGGAAGCTGGCAGCCAGTTAGGTGCTTGTAGAAATCCTGCAGTGGGGGGGGGGGGGCGAGGTCAACCTGGAGTTGTGGCAGGGAATGGAGAAGAGACCCGCAGGAGCCATGTGGAGATCAGGTCGGTGGGTTGTAACCAGTTCAGGGGTTTTTATTTTTATTTATTTGATTTTAATTTTTTTTTTTTGAGTCGGAGTCTCACGCTGTTGCCCAAGCTAGAGTGCAGTGGCACACTGATGGCCACCCCTGCAATCCCAGCACTTTGGGAGGTGGGGCGAGAGGACTGCCTGAGCAACTTGGCGAGACCTCATCTCTACAATAAATCAAAAAATTAGCCGGGCATAGTGGTACGTGCCTGGAGTTCC